TTCTATCAGTTTATAAAATTTTCAAGAGGCTCATTAGTTTTTCACAATATGAAAATTAAAAAAATGTAATATAAACCAATTTTTGTTTTAATTAGGTTTTGCATGATAGAGAGTTAGTGGGCGTTTGCATATAAAATTAATATGTGCTTGTCAATTCATTTGTTTCTCTAAGGCCGCCCGTAGTGGAAAGCAATTCACATGTGAGCTGCTTACATGGAGACCCTCTCCACGCGTGAACACCTCCCCCAACCTTGGTGGATTGGGCGTGACGTGGCTACAAAGACGGAAGAGGACACGATATTTGATTGGTGGGTACAATTTTTCCATCGTTGATACCATTTAATAAAAAAAATTCTTTTTTATTTTTAATTTGATTTATCTCTATATATATACATTCATTTTACACATATTTTTCAAAACAAAACACATAAAGTCTTTCAAAACAAACATACACATTCAACAAAAAATTTGATAATTTTTTTTGTTAAATTTCTTCTTCATCCGATGATGATTCTGATGACGAGTTGGTATTACTGTAACATCCGAATTTTCAAGACCAAAAATTTCGTTTTAGATTAAGTAATTTATTAAAACTATTTACTGAAAAGCAACATCAATATCATATCAACTCATAACCCATGGTACAAATGTCATAAAAACATGTCATGAAATAATAAATATGTCAGAGTACAATCCCAAGAACGTCATAGTGCGGAAATCGAGTGTGTGCGATGCGCTGCTACCGTATTGGCTCCTTCCCCTTCGATGAAGAGGTACCTGAAACAAAACTGTAAACTGTAAGCACGAAGCTTAGTGAGTTCCCCCATCATACCACATACCATACAATAAACATACTGTCAAGCATATCTTGGTACCCGACCTACCCTGCTAGGCATACCGGGGTGCCTAACCTACCCCTGTCAGACATACTGGGGTGTCCGAACTACCCTCTCCGGTTTATCTCAACCGGTTACGGAGACTATTTCACCTCTACTACTACCACATAATAACATAACATAATCATACTGTCAGGCATACCGGGGTGCCTAACCTACCCCTTCGGTCCTTACAACCGTAACATGGGGATTATTCCCCCTACTACCACTATCACCTAATATCATATCATACTAGCATATAGAACATATCAAATAGTGGTAAACCCAAGTAATTATCACAAAGACAACTACTTGACAAACAATCCCTACTAGTGGGCCGGCATTGTGGCTGTAGACCCACTTCTACCGGAAGGTAACTCACCTCGATGTCGTGTAGTGTCTGCACTATCCTCGGTATGGAAATAAACTCTTCTCAACTCCTCAATCCCTACACAACAACCTTTCTAAATTACCACTTCATGCTTATAACCCTTACAAGGGTCATCTCAAGTCTAAGTCAAAGTCATGGTCAAAACCCTAGTCAAAGTCAACTCTGGTCAAAGTCAACATCTGGTTTACTAGACTCGCCGAGTTGGTCCACCAACTCGTCGAGTCCCCACGTCCATGAAGTGATACAACCGCGTCCCTACTCGTCGGGTCTAGCAAGAGCTCGACGAGTTCGCCTTAATCAAAACATCGAGACCTCCTTCAACTGACTCGCCGAGTTCATCCTTGAACTCGCCGACTCTATCCTTGAACTCGCCGAGTCCATCTTCATCCGAATGAAGGTGTTTAGTCTATGACTAGCCGAGTTCTCCTTGAACTCGTCGAGTCCGTCTTCATGTGGTTGGGACATTGCCTTGAACTCGCCGAGTTCGTCATTGCACTCGTCGAGTCCTTCGATCTTCAAGTCCATAACAAACCCCAACAGACTGAGTTTTCCTTCAACTCAACCAAAGATCATTTCCAGAAGACGTTTGGGGGAAACTGTGACCCGACTCGCCGAGTCCCATGAACGACTCGCCGAGTCCCTCTTTGTCCAAAACTATACAGTCGCTTTCAGTGGGTCTTAATGCATCCAAATCATAGATCTGACCTCCTAGGGTCCATTTTATACATAAAGCTACGAACTTGATGTCCATGCATGGGGTTTTTGGCTCAAAAGGCTATAAAATGGGGTTTATATGTTGCATGGGTCTCCCATGGCCATAAAGTTGGCACCTTTATGTCATGGGAACCCTCAATGGTTCCAGATCTAAAGTGCAACTCCAAATATACACCCAAATCCGAGGATAGCTTCACTAAAGCTTAGAAAAAAGTAGAAAATAGCCCCAAATCAAGATCTAAGTAATGAATAGCCAAGATATCAACTTTATACCTCAAATGAGTAGGAAATGTGCCAAAACTTCTGGATCTACTTGCTCTCACTTGATCTCCCAAGCTCCTTCTTCCTTCTCAAGCTTTACAATCACCACAAGTACATAAAAATGGCTCAAGAACACTCAAACAACGTTAGGGTTTCTCTGAGTTGGGAGGGACGATGGAGGCTGGATAAGTTGTTTAAATAGGGTGCAAACCCTAAATATTAGGGTTTCATACAGACAGTCCTACTCGCCGAGTCGGGCTCTCGACTCGTCGAGTAGGTTACTTAAAACCCGCGTCTAAAGTCTTGTCTACTCGACGAGTTGGGCCTCCAACTCGCCGAGTCCCAGTGTAAAAACATTGAATCTTTAAATTTAAAATACGTACCGGGAACCGGGCGTTATAATTACACACACTATTATCTGTGTCACAAGACATGGTTCGTGAGAGAGGCAAAAGTTCACACGGCGAAAAGAAGCATAGAAAATGGATCAACCGGGATCGAGAGGCGACAAACGAACTTTTGGTACGTGATTATTTTGCCCCTGATAGTTTATATGATCTATCGAAATTTGAAGAACATTTTCGTATTAATAGCAATTTATTCTTACGTTTAGCTAGACATTTGGAACGTAATTATGTGTTTTTCCAATTAAGATGGGATGGTAAAGGTAAACGTGGTTTTACTATAATACAAAAATGTACGGTCGCTCTTAGACAATTGGGATATGGCATAACTGCGGACACATCAGATGAGTATTTGAAAATATCTGAGAGGACGGGTCGAGACTGTACATATATTTTCTGTGAATATGTTATCGAGCTTTACCGTGACATATACTTGCGACATCCGACTAAAAGTGATATCGAACAGTTGTCTGCCGCGCATCAAGCTAAACATGGTTTTCCAGGGATGCTTGGTAGTACTGATTGTACACATTGGGAGTGAGGAAATTGTCCCAATGCGTGGCGTGGTCAATTCACACGAGGTGATCTTGGGTCCCGACTGTTATATTAGAGACGGTTGTTTCACATGACCTATGGTTTTGGCATGCATTATTTGGTATGGCGGGGTCAAACAATGACCTGAATGTGCTCCAAGCGTCTCCGTTATTTAACAATATTTTGCAGAGTAAAGCACCAAACATGTCATACGTTGTGAATGGAAATGAATATAAGGATGGGTATTACCTAGGTGATGGGATATATCCAGAGTATGCTACAATTGTTAATTCATATTCATTTCCGGCTGATGAAAAACGAAAATTGTTCAATTTAGCGTAGGAATCTACAAGGAAAGATATGGAACGAGCGTTTGGAGTCCGAAAACAAAAGTGACACATAATCAAACATCCGACACGAACATGGGATAGGGCAAAAATAACGACGATGTTGATTACTCGTGTTATTTTACATAACATGACAATAGAAGAAGAGGGTAGGGCTATATGTTCATATACCGGGAACGATATACTTAATCCACCTACAGTAATACAAGTTGGCAGCCCGACATACTTCTCTAAGGTTTTGGAAATACAAATTCGTGAAACACATCACAATCTACGTCACGATTTGACCGAGCACATATGGAAGGACAATTCCAAGGATAAAATGACGATGAAGACGAAGAGGATGAGGGTGGTAACGACGAGGCGGATGAGGACGGTGATGACGAAGCGGATGAGGTCGGTGACGACAACGACGACGAGTAGTATTTCTCTATGGTTTTATATGTTTTAAATTTTTTGTTTTTTAAGTAGTGTAATGTTTATTTGGTATGTTTTATGTTTATTTTAGTAATTTATGTTTTAAAGTTCTATGTTTTTAATTAATGAAATGTAGTTTTATTTTTTTTTTTCAAAAAAATTTATTTATGTTATAAATTATGTTTTTATTTAATATAATGTTAAAAATAAATAAAAAAATAAAAAAGGAATATTGTATAGTGGTAACTATTTCCAATGTCTAGTGGGTTGGTGGTGAAGCTGACGTGACGTAGAGGTGGCAACACTCTTTCGGTGGGTTGGTGGTGACTACTACTCTCCATAGCCTAAGGTCGAAAATTAATGATAAGAAGACTAAATAGAAATTGAGAACCAAAATTTCCAAGAATAATATTCCCAACTAGAGACCTAGTTCAAGGTTTTAGACACACAAATGGATGTTTCGTGAAAGCCCTCTTGATCGACTTCGACTTATCAAAAGGGAGTGCATTTGAATAATTTGATTTCAAGGAGAAATTTTATATATGAACGTAGTCGTAGCATATTTTTTAATGGTTTTATTGTTAACAAAGTTTTATATTCTAAAATGACGTTAATTTGAATACATTTGAATAATGAGTTTGTTTGATGAATAAATAAAAACACAAATTGACTTTTATAAGGGATAAATAAATGGAAAAAAAGAAAAGATTGAATAAGGGTAAAGTGTCAAAACAAAATAAGGGTAAAAGTGTCAAAACAAATTGTTTTAAGTGGAAGAATCATATATACAAATGGAAATGTCAACACCCAATAATGCTTTGAGAAAAATAAATAGACCTAAACAAAATGCCATGGCACTATCCAAAACCTCCAAGTCATGTACGAGAATAAAACTTTTTACAGTTGCGGGATGCTAATTTGAGGGGAAATCTGTTTGTTTTTTTTTCTTCTGAATTAATCCAATAAGGGAGGGGCAAATTTGTACTAAATTGGTCATCTAGATTTTGATCTTCAATTAATTAGGGAGCCCAAAGTTATTTTGATATTCATACCCAATTTAGGGTGGTGCTCCACCTTGGCCTCCATACATGTTAGCGGGCTGCGGTGGCTGCACCACCATTGTGGTGGTATCTGTGGTGGTTATGTCATGGATGCTTGCTCTCTTCCTCTCTTTTGTCTGCGAATTGCTCTGTCGGAGGAAATACTTCTGTGCATGGCTGGCCACTTGTGTGGGCGTCCTTGTGATCACGCAGTTTCTTGATATGCTTCGCCAATCACCTTTTCCATACTCCCTCAACCCCTCCAAGAATTTCCTGTTAAAGCCAAAACCCAAAAAATTATCAAGTCAATTTGATAATCAAGAGTCAACCAACTTCCAGCCTAGCTGGGAAGAGGTACCGGGTTTAATACCCACGTGGGGTCAGAGGTCGGGAGTTCAATCCCTGCAAAACCCAATTTGGGTGCCTCTTAAACTTGTGCCACATGTGGGGAAATTTTCCCTGGAAACCCCTATGGGGGCTGGGTTTGCCCTGTAAAGGAGCTCGAACCCGAGGTGCTCGTTGAAATATGCGAGTAGGCTTCCGTTTAATCATTTGCCGTTTCAAAAAAAAAAAAAAAAACCAGCAGTTTGACGGAATCAGGTGAGATGTAATATTGATGCCATTATTATTTGATTAATCAGGATTTAACCCTAAACATGCATGCAGAATACAATTTCCTTGAGGAATGACATGCATGCATGGAAGTTTATTAATTCTTTACGTACCTGTGTTCTTCTTCAGTCCAGGAAGTCCCTTTCTTCCTCTGTTCAACTTTTCTACTTCTAAACTCAGAATCCGAACTAACAAACGATTCCTTAATTACATCATCATCTTCTGCATATTTGGGCAACTCCACCCGACCTGATTCAATCTCATCTAAATCATGCAATAGCTCAGCATAGCGAACCTTCACCTCTTCCACCGTCTTACCTGGAACGGCGTCAGCTATCTTTTGCCACCGCCCCTCGATATTCTCCGGAACATCCACTAAAGCCGTCTCAAAAAGTTTGTCTTCATATCTCGACCACGTTGTCTTCGGAAGAGATTCACATTCATGGTACTTACCTGAATTGTTTTCGTTCTCCATGCCTTCTTTTAATATCTCTCCAAATCTTTATCTACAAATAACTTCTAGGTTTTATGGATTTATATATATCTAGGTGTATCCGTTGAGGAATCTTAGGGATTCTAGAATCTCACAACCAATAGACTCCGTGTATCTATTACTCTATTTATATAATAATCACAATTTATTTTTATAAAGAAATCTAATTTACGGGGATACATAAGTAACAGAAAATAAAAAAAGTTATATTGAAACATTTTCGTTTCAAAACTTTTCACATTGATTGTAGAATGGTGAATAGATACTCTCTCTCTCTCTCTCTCTCTCTCTCTCTCTCTCTCTCTCTCTCTCTCTCTCTCTCTCTCTCTC